GATTTTCGATTCTCGAAATATTCTGGCGGCCTCTCTTAAGAAGGCACACTTTAAAATCATTTGATGAAAACACAAGAAAACTTCTTTATCTTTCTTTTGTTTGCCCGCACATAGGGTATGCGAGCGAAGTGTGGGCCCCTTAGGAGATTGGCAATTTAACTCGTATAGAGCGCCTTCAACGCAGAGCTACAAAGTATATTTTAAATATGAATTACTATAATAGTATTCCCTATCGTGATCGTCTTATTAGATTAAATCTTCTTCCTGTCTCTTATTGGTATGAGCTCAAAGATCTCAGCCCTGGTTGTTCGAAGGATGGATAACGCTATACACTGGATAACTTTCCGGTGGATAGTGCGGTACGTTTTGGTAACACTTATCCGCTGGATAGCGATTTATCCGTTGGATAACGTTATCTGCTCTTTGAACAACCGGAGCCTGGTATTTTATTTCAATGTCGCATTAACTATTATAATATTCCTATTAATGACTTTAAACAACAACAAACATATGAAACACATGTATGAACTGCGGTTATGAAACGTATATATGCACGATCCTTCGCAGTAAAGCACTATTTGAGCAATAGTGAATTTTTTTCAGGTCTGATTTTCACTATTGCTCAAATAGTGCTTTACTGCGAAGGATCGTGCATATATACGTTTCATAACCGCAGTTCATACATGTGTTTCATATGTTTGTTGTTGTTTAAAGTCATTAATAGGAATATTATAATAGTTAATGCGACATTGAAATAAAATACCAGGCTCCGGTTGTTCAAAGAGCAGATAACGTTATCCAACGGATAAATCGCTATCCAGCGGATAAGTGTTACCAAAACGTACCGCACTATCCACCGGAAAGTTATCCAGTGTATAGCGTTATCCATCCTTCGAACAACCAGGGCTGAGATCTTTGAGCTCATACCAATAAGAGACAGGAAGAAGATTTAATCTAATAAGACGATCACGATAGGGAATACTATTATAGTAATTCATATTTAAAATATACTTTGTAGCTCTGCGTTGAAGCCGCTCTATACGAGTTAAATTGCCAATCTCCTGAGGGGCCCACACTTCGCTTGCATACCCTATGTGCGGGCGAACAAAAGAAAGATAAAGAAGTTTTCTTGTGTTTTCATCAAATGATTTTAAAGTGTGCCTTTTTAAAAACCTTAACATTCTATATCCTTTTGCAAGTATGTGATCGATATGATTGTTCCACTTTAAGTCATTAGATACAACGACCCCTAGATCTTTTCTAGTTGATACGTGATCAAGAGATTTCGAGTCTAAATTACAGTCATAATTATCCTTTTTCCGAGAAACTGTCAATATTTCGCATTTTGAGCTGATAAAACGAAGCTGCCATGCCTGGCTCCAGTAATTAAGACTATCAAGGTCATCTTGGAGAGCAGCACATTGAAATCCCTATCGATACCGACACGCTGCAGCTGTTTTTTTTATTCTTTTTTACTTGGACAAAAAAGTTCTTACTTTCACAACGAAGACCGCTGAATCCGTCAAGACAATGACACTTCAAGCTCGGATTTTGAATACACTTTCCTCCGTTTTCACAGCGCAGGACCTCACAACGATCATGGACGTTGATCACCATGGCCACATGAACAACTCCACTTTGTTCCGCCATGTCTTCAGGAAAAATATCTCTCGTTGCGTTATTCAAATCACAAGTTTTGTGCAATAATAGATAGTTGACACTATGACACTGCGGTTCCAGTTCGCAGGAAAAAGCACAGCTCTCAAAAGTCTTGTCTTGTAGGGTCTGTATCACGTGACCCGTCAGCATATGATCTGCTTCTGAAAAACGGCTGAGACAGGCATTGTAGCCAGCGGAGTTTCCATAAAAGATAATTATGTGAAGAAAGATAAATTCCAAATGTTGAGACATCGCTATCATTAAATGTAAGTTTAAGCAGAAACACAAAACTCATCACATGACCTGAAACAAAAATAACACTGGTTAGATTAATCTCTTACATAAGTGTATAAAACCCAGTTCTGATAAAAGTCTCAATTGTTTCGATCTCCTGGAAAAAGAATGCAAAGTAAGAGGTCATTTTATGACCTCTTGCTGCAAAGCTGTGTTTTGTCGTTGGCAACTTAGGGAACCTTTCGAAAAAAAATACGCATGTGAGAAAGCTCAAATGTTAAGTTTTTTCTCAATTCGGCCTTTCAGTCTCAAATGATTTCACTTACCTGACACATATTCATAGCTGCAATGAGATTTGAAGGTGTTTGTTCAAAACGCTGAATCTAACTAAGTGATCAAAAATCGATGGAAGATCTGCCAATATTGATCAAATGAAGTGCATGTAGAAATTAATCGATTTTGAGTCTAGTACCGAGGCTGATTAGTTCTCATTTGTACGGGAAAAGAAGTTGATTTAGAAGGAATCATTGAGGAGATAAACACAGGGAACCTTCTTTTAAGATAAAATATAAACGGTGGGAAAATTGAGTTATCGTTAACTATCTTTGAGTAACCGTTTCCAGGCTCTCTGAGTCAAAGCGATTTAATTTAGTAAGTAATTTTCTAGTTTAGCCTACCACAGTGCTGAATTTGTCAACTATAAATACAACGTTTAATTGATGACATCTACCAAATTTTTCTCCTTAATATATATATCGTTAATCCATCACTATGTCAAGATGGACAAAAAGGTAAAATAAAATTTCCGATTTGTATACTTGAAATCTTATCTTCTAAATTATTTGAGAAATTATCTTACCTAACTTGTGTCTTTAGTTGACTTAGTTTTGAGACGTCAAAGAGTTTTTCCTTCAGCGACCGGGTGAAAAGCTTCTAACATTCTAATATGTCTAATCGCTTTTCTGGCTGAAATTTTAATTTCCTTTTTAACAGCCCCTGATTTACGTCAATAAATCATTGGATATTTGTCATTATACAGCTTCTCTTCCGGCGAAGTGAACTAGTACATGCTTTGAATATACAACTTTTTATTAGAACGTCAGACAGTCTGTCAAAAACTCAAGCATACGAGCCTTTTCTTCCAATTAGTTGGAGATTTTAATTTAAGCTTCGCAGTCTTATGTAAACGAAAAAATGTCGACATATGTAAATGATCTATCACTTTAGTTTGCATGTCTTCAGTACATTGAAAAAGGGATACCAGCAACTTTGGAACTAACAAAGGAATCAAATATTTAACACTGTTTGTTAAGACTTATAAACGAGGTTTTGGTTTCCCAGCATGCACCTGCCGCATCCTCCAATCTGCACTGAAGCGTGAAATGCGATCGTGATGCTTATGGTCGTGCCGCCCGCGTCATGATGAGACGAGTGACGACAAGGCAGATTCATTTTTACCACCTCCATGCGATTAATGCAGCCGGCGCCGGGTGACTGGAATCATTTTGACGTCTTCTATGTACTATTGTACAGACCCTTGGCAACATGGAACCTATTTGTTTTTAATAGTGACGTCATCTATGCGGTCTCCTGGTATCAGGATCATAAGAAGCAATCAAATTGCTTGTAGGATTCAGCTTGAATGATTTGCGATACAAATGAAAATGATAGCTGTTTTTTATTTCCTTTACCTTTTTTGTTTTTATTGAGCTGTACATATCGGTATCACTGTCGCATTTTGTACATATTTAAAAAGTAATAATTTTATAATGTATCAGGCTTTTACTGCAAGCAAGTTTTGTATTGACCAAAGACTAAGTAATATCGACGAAAATATTTGGAACAAAGACAGAGATATGAGTATTTCCTTTTCTTAAAGCGGGAGTAAGCATTGCTTCGATTTTTCAACTCAAGAATGTAAATCTTTTGCCATCAAAGAATCTGACGAAGGGCCAAGGGAGGTGTCGCTACTACGCCATAGTGATTAAAAATTCATTATCACCTGGGAATTCAGTAGTCTCTAACTTGCCTAAACGATAGAGAAAAACCATATGATTTTGGTAGGAACAGGCTATTACTGATGTGTGAAACTAATGAGACATTTATCTCTTACTGTTTTCCATGAAAAAATGCGGTACTCTTGAAAGTGGAAACAGCCCCTTGAATGGTGTGACAGATTATAGGACCGAAATTCGAGCTTTTATTAAAAGACGCAAGGTTTTAGACTGATTGATTATTGACAGGAAAAAGTTTTAAAATAAGCCTAAACGGATGTGGTGAGACGTCATCATACCGCCGCTGATATTTCTTCCTAATTAGTAGCCTTGATACATGACTTTCCTGAAAACACAAACTGTAATTTTTGGTGTGAGGGACGACGATCAGCTAGGTGACAGCAGCATTGTTCAGTCGAGCACTGAGTGCCTCCGACGAAAATACTTGCGGAAAATCTTGGTTTATTTATTTCTCCGCTAGGAGTCGAAGAGACAGTGTGGTCGGAACAAGAATTTACGACTATTCATAAAGCGATGACGAGAAAAGAACTGATCAATTTTCTTCAGCTGAGGTTTCAGTACATAGTCATTCAAGGTAAGATCTTTCTCTTTCGCAACCAGTCGACTGGGTTTTATGATGCATCACGCCTCAACAGGTTTTGATCAAGGGGCACTGGTAAGCGCGGTTACTTTGCCTTGCACTAAAAATGGAAAATCAAGACGGAAATATGTAACGGATGAGTTTTAGATGAAACGAGTTGTTTTTATTTTGAAAAACTTTTAGATCGCGCCTCAGTTATTCTTCATCAACGCTCACTGACAATCAAAGTTTATCTTACCAAAAATAACTAAAAAACAAAATAGATCTTAAGCCGGCTTTAGTCGTACAACAACATTGACAATGCAGTGACCTTGAAGAGTTAAACAAATATGTCTAACTTAAGAGACGAATAGGAGCAACTTGATATTCGGGCTGTTAAAAACGATAAAAGCCCTCCAATGGTCTTAAATGGTTGGAATGGAGATCGTACAGAGTTGAGTAATTTTGAAATCGTGACAGTAATAACCAACAGGACTCCTCGCCTAAAGATCAGCAGTTTAATTCTCATTTTTCTCTTCTAACATGTTTATGATGTAGTGTCATACTTGTTTAACTCTTCAAACTAGGTTGGTCGATTTAACACCGTTAACTATGCAAGGTTATAATGAAACGCGTTTTTTAAAAAAATATTCGCATGTGCGCACGTACCCACAATCCGTTTTGACACTTTCCAATGACAGCTTAAAGACATTTCTGACAGGTGAGATCCAGCTGGCCCGCGGTTAAAGTATAGAAATAAACTCACTCACTTGGACTAAAGCGCCAGAGAGCAGAAAAAACTCCTCAGGTTTATCGAAACAAGACTCCAGAACTGTAAATTGGTTATGTCGATTGAACGTTTTATTTAGCGGAACTGCAACAAAATTACAATTCGAAATTCAAATTTTACATTACTTTGGAGTAACGGTGTTGAAAAGGTGCTGGAACGGCCCGTGAACTCAAACTTATTTCTCTTAAAGATTTCATCAACAAAGTTTGGAGCTCTTTTTTTCCCACGTGTTGGTATGGAGCGTTTTTTCTATCATGGTTCGTGCAATGAAAGGTATTCCTTTCCAGAAACTGAAATGTCACGCTTGTGTTTCGCGTGAAGTGACGTTTTATGTAGCTTTCGCCTGACTGTACTGCACACCACCTTAATATTCCCCATACGTTCCTAACCAGCGCTAAACGATCATCAAATGTAGTGCTGATTCACTGGAGTCAATCTGTGGAGTGTGGGAAAACTCGACAAGATCTCGTTCGCCAAATCCGCCTATGCAGGTCTATGCACATACACTGCGTGTAACAACCGGAAAAGGAAACTCCCCCGAAATGATTGCTGCCGGGTAAAATGCTATGATTTTGGTGTGCAAGGTGTCCTCAAAAAAAAGGAAGAAGAAACCTAATGTGTACTAGGGTTCAAGATACTACTATAGAGTAATGCGTGAATCAGACCAAGTGCTCATGCTCCACACAACTGCTTTACTGGAATACCATAAACTTAATCATAAACAATAATGTCTAAAGATGATCACGTGACTGCAGTCAAGGGTATGCTAACCAATAAAATACAGGTTATCTTATAGCTGAGGTATTATCTGAATAGAAACAAACACTACAAAACCCAAAAAACTTCTTTTGTACACTTGCTATAACTTTCAGACATTTTTTTGTTACAGACTATCAAATAAACAAGTTTCGACTCAATAATGATCTCCTGTTTTTTGTTCTTCAATATAGCCATCGTAGCCGTCTTAAGCAGTTGCATACAACTTAATCAAGCAAGCACGATTACGGTTTCACCTAGCAGCTCAATGGTGTCCCACTCTTCAGTACTCCAAAGAGGCTTCACCGCGATGACTTCTTGGTCTGTTGTTAGAACTACCACGTCTTCCTTTCAAAAGACTTCCGTTGCTCCTTCCTCCTCAAATTATTTTTCTACATCGTCCTCATCAAGCATGACGCCGAGCAGTGTCGTTCAATCAAAAAATTCGAAGACTTTTACTACCTCCGTGAGTTGCGCGACATCAACGTCTCAAACACTTGTCACACAATATAAACACACAGCAGTGCATGTCACGCCAACAAAGGTGGTAATTTACCGTATACGGGGAATTCCAAGTATGAAGGTCATAACAGTGGTAGCAAGTGTCTTGGGAGCAATCCTTCTGGTGCTCTTAGCAATTATAGTAAGCATAACTCTGTTTTTTACAAACTGAACCGCAACCTCGTTCCCAGGGCCTTTTCCCTTAGCTGGGGGTAGGGCGGGAAAAGGCCCTGGGAACGAGGTTGACTGAACCGCCTTCATTACTGATGTATTTACCTTACCGTCTTAACCACCCAATAGTTACATGCACGTCTTCCAATCTTTACCAAAGTCTTTTATTTTCAGATTTGGGATCTGTGTATCGTGGAAATCTTGCCACGAAGACCGACGTCACGTGTGGAGCCTCGTAACGATGTCTCACATGTTTGTAATGATATGGTCTGAGCATGACAGCCGCTGGTCAAGTTTATAGTTTATAGTTTATTAGCTTCGCCGACAGGCAGGGACACCGCAACAGCTTGTGCTAATTACTGCGGGCCCAGTAAACCCACCCATCCCAGCCCAGGGGAGGACGTCCATCACACAGTAATCTCGTGCGTGGGAAATTAACGTCTCCTACCCCTAACCCTACAGGAGACGAGACCTCCATCTATTCGTCCCTATCCGAGAAGACTAGAATATCTAACTATTTCTTGATGTTATAGAAAGGCAGTATATTCTTCTCAATTATTTTAAGACCTTGAGTGTTGGTCCGGCTGGGGTTCGAACCCTCGACCTCTCGCACAACAATCCAGCGCTCTATCGATTGAGCTAACCGGGAGGCGGTGGTCAAGGGGCATGTAAGACGCGATACAACCCAAGACAATTTCTCTGTGGTATCGCTATATTATGAGGGCATCTCTGATTAGATTATCATTTCACATATAGCACGCCTCATAGAAGACAGCTATCTTCCTCCTAGAGACAGCCATAAGTCATGAGAATTAAGCAACAATTTAGGGCACAAGATGATAAGAAGGTCTATCAGAAATTGAGTAGGCTAGAGTGATCGTCTGTGTGCGAGAAGTCTTGGATACAACACCTGCCAGTGAAAGTGACTTCGTCTAGGCAACCTAGTCAGCAGTACTCATCATCAGAATAAAGTGGTGATTCATTTGTCAATCAGATGTAAAATTGACCAATCAGTGTTCACTTAAACTTGGCCTCTTTATTCTGATGACAGGATGTTAACCCTATAACTTCCAAGATCTGATTGTTAATTCTCCCCTCTGGATGCTAGACATTTCCTTGTAAATTAGCAAGGAGAATTTGGTGTCAAATCACAGTCAGTTATCAACTTCTACCTGATAACTTTGAGTACTCTCACTACCTGTTTGCTGGATAATGTATGGAGAAGTTACATGTTAATCCCTTCTGGGAATTAAGGATTAAATTCTCACTTATGTTGTGTAATCATCAGTCACTCTTGCCAGCAACAGTCCTTTTCAGACTACTCTCCGACGATCACAATACACAACTGGTACTCCTGAGTTCACACTATTTAATATAGAAAGGAACGTCCCAGCACTTGTTATAAATGTAAGGGAATACGAAAAAACAATTTTGTCTCCGGAGGCCTTCCAGTTGAATGCATATTACATCAAGTTAATTAGTTGTAAATTATGTTAAAATGTACCACTGAGATGATTCAATTTAGCGCCGTCGTTCCAAGAAGCTCTCCCTCTCTAGTAAGTGCCCCCTTGAATTTTTTTTCGTAAATAAGCGCTCTTACTGCGTCAGCAGCCTTCTTGAAATAAGAACCCAAAGAGTACACACCTGACCATTATTATCCGAATATTAAATGTACATTTGTTACTTTTATAGCTTCTAATATTGTTACTTTTTTAATTAACGTCAAAGCTTTATTTAGCACATTCTGCTGTTTCTCAAAAAATGAAATAAGCACCCCGTCCCTAATAAACGCCATGTTTCGAATAAGTGTCCCACCTAGAGGGCTCAGAAGTAAATGAAATAAGCACCCCGTCCCTAATAAGCACCCTGTTTCGAATAAGTGCCCCACCTAGAGGGCTCAGAAGTAAATGAAATAAGCACCCCGTCCCTAATAAGCACCCTGTTTCGAATAAGTGCCCCACCTAGAGGGCTCAGAAGTAAATAATCGCCCCGGGCGCTAAATCGAAACTAGTCACGGTAACTGTAAATAAATACTGTAATGTAACAACTGTAAAAACTGAATAACGGCTGATAGTTTCTAAAGAAACTGTTTGAGGCTGCGTCGGTGGGGGTAACGAAATAATTTGGATATATCAACAAAGTTGAAATGGTAAATTGGCCACCGTAACGATTACAAAAGCTGACTTTTCGAGCGTTAGCCCTTCGTCGGAGCGAAAGGGTTGGAAAAACTACTGAACATGAATAAATTGAAAACCAATTTTTTTTATTGAGAATTAATTTTTCTTCTTTTTTTTTTTTAAACAAAAGGCAGAATTTCGAGACATGTTAAAAGTATTTTTCACTCCGTGCGTTCTGCATTAGAACAACAATAAAGTATTCAGTTCCCAAATATTAACATTCTAGAGACTTAAGATTCGTTATTTCCGTTCATTGGGTCGCAATACTTGGGTTTCCCCTCCTCCCTCCCCCCCAGTCAATCCGTCAAGAGAGCGGAAAAACTTTCGCGTTCTTTTGAGTTTTCGTACCCCTTTTTACGCGATGAACGAAGCTGAGGAACTTGTTTCGAATTTCAGCACCTACCGCCTACTCAAAGACAATGAAAATATATCCGTTTATTGGGTCGCAATAACTTTGGTTTCCCCTTCCCCCTTCTCTCCCCCCCCTCCCCCCAGTCAATCCTTCGAGAGAGAGGAAAAACATTGGCGTGCTTCTGAGTTTTCGTTCCCCCTTTTACGCGATGAACGAAGCTGGGGAGCTTGTTTTCGATTTCAACACCTGCCGACCAAGACATTAGTTAATGAGGTGAAATATGTCAGGGGCAACCAAGGGAACACAAAGGAACAGCCGAACAATCGCTGGTTACCCAGCAATCTCGCGGGGTAATGTTTTTCTGAAAAGTGGGGCTGAAGAAGAGTCAGGAGCTTAAGTTAAACTACGTTTCTTTGTAAGATCGAGAAACTTCAATGTAGATGTCGATGGATCTAATTTTCACCTTTGTGTTACTGGCTCCGACAGTTTCGCTGATATTTGGTGGAAAGTGCGAACCGATCAGGATTACATCATGCTCTAACGCTGGTTACCCTCTAACTGCAAGATTTCTTGATGTTAACGGCACAGCATACCAAGACTTTCAAGCGCCACGCTTGGATTTATACATCTCTTTGCTGCAGACTTGTTCAGCTCACGCTAGCACGATGCTATGTTCGTTGTATGTGCCGAAATGCGAAGAAAACCGGACAGATTCTCAGCCTCCGTGTTACCAAGTTTGCGCAAAGTTTGTGAGAGACTGCCAAAGCCTTCTTACAAAGGCAGGCCTCGCTGGATTGTTTACTGTACTGTGCGAAACGTTACCCGATGGAAATTCTAACTCAAACGAATGTTTTTATCCGTTAAACTTTAAGCAATCGTCATCTGGAGGTTAGTGTGAGTAGAGCGATAGTATTCGAATATTTTGTTTATCTTAAGCGAGCTTGTCATAAAATTGATAGATTACTTTGATTATGCTAATTGAGAATGTATCTGGGTGCAAAATGTTTTTATTATTGAATTACTTGTTCCGTCAAACAAAAGGGATGTGGCTGTTTTATTGTTTGCTTAATTTTTTGCATGCACTTCGTTTGCAATATAGTTATCTTCGAAACTGAAAACTCGGAAGAAACAACTGAAAATTAGGCAAGATTTCCCTATTAACCCCATACTTCATTATGCATACAATTCTTGGATAAAAGAAAATAGAAGCAAAACAACAGATTACCTTTGGGACTTTGACTTTATTTCTGATTGGTATGGGGTTATACGGAAATCTCTCCGAAAATTAAGTTCGAATTCTTATCTGATATGGAAAATTTACAACAACAAAAATCAGCGAAACGGTCTACAAACAGCAGTTGAATGGAACTGACAATTTCTTTTGTAACAGAAGTGGAAAACCATTAGCATAATAGGGTAGGTTATTGATGTTTTTTTTTTTTCAAGGAATTTCTACTTTACTCCCATCCAAGAAATTCCAAGGGGAAAGGTTCAACCTTCAATTTCCTTCTACTTAAACTGTTACACTTTTGCAGGATCAAAACCGGCTCCTATGTGCTACAGTGTTGTTGATCCAGTTTGCAAGAAACATTTACACTATGACAAAACAGTGATACCGACAAACCTACAAACAGGCGAGGAAACCTTATTCAAGCCAATCATCAACAGCAAATGTTCAGCAGAAATGGAAAAGTTTATTTGCTATGCACAGTTTTCTCCTTGTAATGTTAATCAGCCAACTCAGATACCATGTAAATCGCTCTGTGATAGAATTCAAAAAGATTGCTGGAAGGAGTTCAACGAGGCTAGGCTGCTCCTTCCACATTGTGATTATGTTTACCCAGATTATGATAATCCAAAAGATATTTGCGAGGTAAAGAAGTGGCCAGCTCAATGGCCTGAAACATTTAGGCCACCAACACCTGGTGAGTAGTAGATAACTTAAATCAATTTTAGTATCTGAGTGCCTGTGCACTTACCCCTCCCCTAAGCCAAAATGATCACACCTTGTTATCAGTTGACTGTTGTTGCGTTAAGGGAGGGGTTAGGTAGGCAGTAGCTCAGATACTGAAATATTGATCCAAGAACTTCATCTAGTGGTCAGTTTTTAGTTATATACATACCATGAATTTCAAAATGCTGTTGAGAAGTTATTGATACCAAGATACAGAGAGAGCATAAATACTTAGTTCTTATTAACCGAGTGGGAGGTCTGTATGGGAGAATCTTGACCGAGGTCGCCAGTACAGACTGAATGCAGTGAGGTCTGTACCAGCGACCGAGGTCAAGATTCTCCCATACAGACCAACGCAGCCCAATTAATGAGATGTTTATCATATGGCTGTGTCTTATATGTAAATCTACTTGGGTTATAAAATTAGTTTGCCTCTTTTTGTGACTCTAATATCATTTTTTCCAATGGACAGAAATTGGAACCTGTGAGGAGCTCACTGTGAAATCATGTGCCAAAGCAAACTACAAATATACTGCTAAGTATCTTAAAGTTGGTAATGAGACCTTCCAACAGTATAAAGGAAGACTGCTTGATGCACTTATTCCACACGTTGAGAGTTGTTCCCCTTACAGTAGCTTGATTCTCTGCTCCTTGTATCTGCCCAAATGTGTCCCTGGAAGTGCTAGACCAATGTTACCATGCCGACAAGTTTGTTTGGATTTTGCGGACAACTGCAAGACACAATTGACTTTGGCATCAACTGTGGGAATGACAGTAGCACTCTGTGATCTTCTTCCTGTTTACGATGCGACACCAAACAAGTGCATTATGCCAGACAGTTTCAAGACAAAATCTTCAGTGCAATTATGTAAGTGTGGAATTTTTCAGCTAGTGTATTTTCTCCTCCCATTTCCCACAACATGGTAGTACCTTTAAGAAACTGGGCCAGTTAGTTCAAAGGTGGGTTAAGAAAACCCAGAGTTAGTGTGAAATTTGATTTCAGATCTGAAAGTTTTAAAAGAAAATTCACTTTAAATCTATTTTTCTACAATTTGAATGCTATAAAAAGAATTGAGAAAATTAATGATCCCCAAACGGCCCTTGAACAGAGAAATATAGAAACCTGGATTAGAATTTAACCTTGGGTTAGCACTAATTGGCCTTCAAACAATTGGGTCCTGAGCTTTATAATTATTATTGAAATGAGGCAACAAAATATGCAAGCTCTCCTTGGCAAAGTGCTAGTGTGTGTTACATTTACAGAGGGAGTGTGGGGAGACATCATTTATACAGATTTTACACAAATTTTAAGTAATTTAGAATAGTATTTTGTTAATTTGTGGGACACACAGTGAGAAAATATTGCATTTGTTACCTTCTCTCTAGTTACTGTAGTGAGTTTTGATAAACAGTACTTGATCATTACTAGTAACATGTTTTGAGGTGAGTTTTGTTTCTTTTTCCTAGTCTCCACCAGAAATATTTGCTACAAAGTAACATCTTCCAAGTGTTCCAAAGACCTTCATTTTGACAAAACCTTTTTGCCAACGGATCTTCAGAGGGCTGCAGAGCTCACCATTCTTCAACCAGTCATTGATTCAGGATGCTCACCAGACATTGAAAAATACTTGTGCCTGACCCGCATGCCACAGTGTACAGCAGATACATCTGTGGTTCACTTGCCATGCAGGGAATTCTGTAAGAGGATAACTAAAGACTGTGGAGCAGTATTAAAGGAAAACAAAATTGCTGCCCTTCATTGTGATTATTTCTTCCCTGAAGGAGACAGTTCAACTGGGCAGTGTGACTTAAAAAGTTGGCCTGCTCCTTGGCCTTGGAAAATACCAGATCCATCTCCTCCCATTTCAGGTAATGACTTAGTCAATACATCATGAGCGTAAGTCTCAGAAGTGAACTGGGTCATCAGTGCCAGTGTTTATAATGGTTTCTGTAGTGTGTGACATTTGTGAGTTAGTCTACTCTCCCTGGATAGGATGCTGGACCATCACGGCCCCCACTGGTCCCTCCCAGATTGTCAGGTATCCCTGACAGTTTGCTTGCACCATTTGCACTCCTTAGTGGGAAGGAGCTTTGCAAGAGTGAAGTGTCTTCCTCCAAGAATAGAGCACGGCGTAACCCAGTAAGGGCTCAATCCCAGACTTTTTTTTAACTGGATGCCAGCGAGTTACCTGTTTGGCTGAAGCGTCTTCAATGTGTAATGTCATTATTATTATGGTTATCATTATCGTCATTGTAATTGTTGTCATTGTCGATCATTATTACCATCATAACTATTATTGTTATTTTTATTCAATTTGTTAGTATTGTTTTTTAGTGATAATAATCATGTCAGAATCCAAAACTGTAGTTCTTCTCAGACCACTAATTTATCTTCTAGTGTTTCATGATAAAACAATCAAAAAAGATTCTCGTTCTCAGTTAGTCTCTTTAATATAACTGTCTTATCTCAATGATATAATTTGTCTTTTCTTTATGATCTGATTGCCTTATCTCTATGTTATAACCTTCTTATATCTTTAATGCAATTACTTTATCTCTCTGATGTAACTTTCTTATCACTACAGATAGTCCCACCAAATGTGTTCCTCTGAAAGCAGAGGCTTGTGCGAGTGCCGGTTATGACCTCACAGCAGACTTTCCATCCATTGATGGCAAACCATATCAGATGGTCAAAGAAAAAAGTTTGAAGTTTTTCTTGGATTTTTTGAAAGTGTGCTCTAAATACAGCAGCACGATCATGTGCTCTTTGTTCATGCCAAAGTGTGTGGAGGGACAGCAAAAACCTGTTCTGCCCTGTCGCAGTGTATGTCTGGAGTTTGTGAACAAATGTCACCGTTTACTGTCGTTAGCCTCACATGCAGGATTGTTTAGATCTCTTTGTGATCTTTTGCCTGAGCAGGATACATTCGTGACCACATGTTTCGTGCCTCAAGGATTCACAGCGAGCACTACTTCTGGTAAGCTGCTGGCTCAGTATTTGACCGAGAGCACTGATCAGGATTATGTCTTTTTTTTTTTTTTTTTTTTTTTCAGTTCTATCCTCAGTTAAGAGTCCCGAGCGTATAGATTTGTATTACTCATAGCTAAGATTGTCACGTTAAGCTTGCGTGGAAGGCGCGCTATGTAGACAGCGAGAGAGTTTTCACTTGCACGAGAGATGACTCCTCCCCTTCACAAACAATGGCGGCCCCCGCAGCCAAATCGACAGAGATTACGTTTAGTTTGAACTCCAAGACAATTTTTCTTGTATCATTTTCGTTTTGTTTAGTCAACAGGCGAAATGGCCAGTGCAGCAAAATTAAAGAACCAAAATTCTGACCCGACGATTTACATTACAATCTGACGTTTGTGGTTGAAAACGAGCAAACAAGTGTCACAATCTTAAAGACTATCCTGGAATCCAAATGTTCTCCAGACCTAGAGAAGTACCTTTGCTACACAACCGTTCCACCATGTAAGACGAGTGATTTGTCCGTCTACGTGCCTTGTAGATCTGTCTGTGAGCAGGTTTGTTTATTGCAGTTTCAACTTTTTTTGTTTTTTTGCGACATGACGCTTTCACAGCTCCAAAGCTAAGAGTCGGGTGGAACAGGCAAATTGCAAGAGTTAGTAATTGTCGTAAGCCAATCTTCTCCGTGCAAGTGTCTCGAGACAAGGAGAAAGCAATTTTTGCAGCTCATATCTCTTGCTAATCGAGTTCGAGTTCCAGACTGTATGTTACGGACTGAGTATTTTTCCGTGCACTTCGTGCTCGGCTTAGGCCATAAATCCGAGCAGGAAAACGAAGTTCGGTAACTTTCATTTCAGACCTAGAAAACTAGGTTATTGTAGTGTATTAGGACAGCGGAAGTTCTCAAATGTGTCCGGGAACTTTAAGTGTGAGCGAGAGCGGGAAAGTCAGTGAAGACTGATGCACTTCGTGTGCTCGGAGCCTGGTACCTTTGTGGCTTCACTACACTACAGTTAGTTAGATATTTGCTATATCTCTGGGTTCAGATAGAGGGGGAAAGATCTCAATTCAAACAATCTGTAGAATTTAGCGGGCTGCGCAATGATATACGGCTCGCTTGACCGACAAATCATAAGGTACACACTAACTGAAAGTTATGATAACTAGAGTTCCTCACAACATAGAATTTGGGCGGCAAACTGGCAAAAAAACTTTAATTTTGATTCTCTTATTTTTCTTCCCTTAATCAGGTGAGAAGAGATTGTGGAGGTGAATTCGAGAGAAATAAACTTCCGTTACCCGAGTGCACGTGGATTTACCCTGATGAAGACGGCACTGATGGGTTATGCCAACTGAGTGAATTTCCAGTTCCCTGGCCTGCGAAGAGAATAGATGGTAAGAATGTGTTGATGAGCAGAAAATAACTTCTGACTTGCGACCTTTTACAATATTCGTCACCGGTCTCCTCTCTAAAGGAAAAAAAAACAGGTTTCTTCCCTCACGAGGAACATGTTAACGAGACTTGTGAATCTTCTTCAGTGTTTCCTGACGACGCTAGCGCCAGAAAAAGTGGCCATTTCATTTGATGCTATACCTCTTGCGTCCGAGCAGTTTTTTTTTTCAGTAAATAAGTTGTTATTTCTTGCTTGTGTTTCCACTGATGTTTACAACGTTAGCTAAACCAGACCTGTCTCGTCACATTCAACGTTACATTTTTATCGCACTGTCTACCCACTCTCACCCTCTTCCTCTCTTATTTAGTGAAGACTGCGGTACAGCCGGAAAAATCTGCCAACAAAGGTGGCTTGATCGCTGGCGTCGTCATTATGTTGGGCGTCCTCATTGTAGTTGTTATCATCGCCGTGATGTACTACCACTGGCGCCGCGGTTCCAAGCAGTTCTCGGCACAGCGGTTTGACAACGTAACGAATGAGCAAGAGTCGAATGCGTAAAAGTGCATGATTGTGATGTTTGTGCTGTTTGAGATCCGTGAGGGAATGGTGTGGACCAAGGGTTTATCACAGATTCACCGCAATGTATTTTATGTCCTCTTCAATTTAGTAGAGAGAGAAAAAAGCACATGCACACTCAGAACAAGGTGTTGTTTTTACGGATATATGTAGTAATCCAATTTACCAAATGTTAGGCCTTTCCAGAAACATCGGCAATTTGTTTTGGAAGACTTGTATTTTAGTTAATCCATCCTTCATTTCAAAACCAGTCAATCAGACCGAGATTACATCCCCAGAGTTTTAAACTCGATATCTCTTACAACATGGAAAACTTCTACACTTGATGCATGACATTTACAAATCAGTTAGGAGCATCAATTCTTCCGTTGTGTCCCTTTTTAAACTACACAGATCCTGTTAAGTCATTTTATCATATTTCATTACGACTGGCGTTACCACAATTATCATCTTCAATAAGGCGTACTTTTTACTAGAATCTAACTTGACAGGCGAAACAATTTTATTATATAGATGCTGATGAAATACCAGGATTTTTTCCTTTTTACTAAAAAATCATATCTTCATCGCGCGCAGTGAAGATATTATTTTTATCTTCGACGTGGAGGAAAGTGGTGTCGCCATGGTTACTATATGGATGTTATAGAATTTTTCTCTTCTTCATTAGAATTTTGACTTTTTGGAACAGAAAATATAAGTATTATTGTCCTTATTTCTTTTTATAACTTTATATCCGAGTTTCATAACATTTTTGTGACAGGGATTTTGCGATAGTTGACCACTTTAATTGCACTATTTTGCTGTTTCGAAAATGAATTTAAAAAAGCTGTGTTTTATGTGGAAATTTCATCAGTATCTATAAAATAAACAGAACATTTCATGGCCGCTTAAGGATACGAATTTTATCTTCTCTTGCTGAGTTTGTATGCTGTAAAGATACAGCACTCGAAGATAAAATTCGTATCCCCAAGCGGCCGTGTAATATCCTGTAATCTTCAACTTCCGTCTGAACCTTAAAAACAGGTCTCCCTTTTGGGGATTAGTAGATAGGTCTGCCTAAAACTCATGCAAAATTCACCTTCATGGTTTTACATTTGATCGCACCCCAAGGAAATGTAGCTGGACGTGAAGATATTCACATTGTTAGACCTGTAAGACATTTTACAAGTTAGTAAAAAGTTCTTAAGGTTTTATCTCAAAAGGAAGAGTTTGACATATCGTAGATAGTCAAACAGTGATGTTCTGTAAAATATTATTAGCTATTATTCATTGATGCCTAAACACAGCTGCTTGATATTGGGCTTCTTAAATTTGATGAAATAACCAAGTGAACTCTAGACAGATATGGACCGAGTATACGATGCTTAACTTAGAAAGTGATCCTACATAGTCCATGGATGTAAACAATTCTTTTCTCGCGGATTCCGGCTGTGAAGTGAATGAAAGTATTTCCATTGATCACTTCTAATTAAGTTTTCCTGAGACCACTAACAGAAATCAACTTTTAAATTCCTTTTAGATAAACCGTCAGGCTACACTTAAAACGATTTAGGACCTGCATTCAGTAAATGACGACTAAATTGTGTTCGAATGACTCGGCATATCGATTTTCAAGTTACCCGATCTTCAGACTATTTTCTCATCCATCACGACCAAGGATGTCAGGTAACAATCTTGGCCATCGTCGTCAATGTTGCAAGACAGTCAAGTTGCACAGTATTAAAGGTCGTCATTTATTGACTGTGTCTATAAAGGGGCCAAGTTTCAAAGGAAACTGTGATGCAGCATCGGCGGGGGTAACGAGGTAATTTGGTTTTATCAACTGAGTTGACAATGTGAATTGGCCACTGTAAAGGGTTCAAAGCTGACGTTTCGAGCGAATGACGAAGGGCTAGCGTTCAAAACGTCAGCTTTGAGACCCTTTAGGTTGGCCAATTTACATTATTAACTCAGGTGATAAAACCAACTTACCACGTGTCTACTTTGTTCACTATGCATGCATGCAACAAAGACTTGCTTTGATCATTATTATCATGTACCTCGCTTTATTAAAATAGACTTGAAATTTAACCAATATGATTGCATCTTGCATTTGCTTTCCAAAGAAACGACTACGAAAAGATTGGGTGATGAATATGTGGATTTTTGTTTTCATCGAAATCTCTATATTTTGTTCAGAGAGTAGATAGTCAAACAAAAAAATTGAAATAAAATGATTCAAAATC